TCCGCGGCTCTCCCCCGCCTCCCCGGCCGCCGCCGGAGTTCGCCCCGCGTGACCCGACACCCCCCTTTGAGTACCTGGCCCCGCTGCCCAGGCGCCCCGCCACCCGCTCCTTCCCTGACTGACACCGGCGCCCACACCTCGGGAGGGGGTCCTCTGGGGGGAAGGGGACGGGCCTTCGGGGCCGCATCTGCCCCCGTTTGTCCCGGAAGGCCTCTGACCCTGACCCCCCTCCCAGGCCGGGAAGCAGGTGGAGGAGACGGCGGTGGCGGCGGCGGTGGCCCCGAGGGGCCGCGTGGTGACCATGGCCGAGTTGGGCGCGGCCTCCCCGCCCCTTCCCGCTCGGTTCCCCAAGGCGGCCGACCCGAGCTGGGATGGCCCGACGCCACCTTACCAGCCGCTTGTGCCCCAGACGGCGGCGCCGCACACCGGTTTCACCGAATACTTCAGCATGCACACGGCCGGGGGCACCGCGCCCCCAGTCTGAGCACCCCTGCCCGCCCCTGCCCCCATGGGCCGCGCTCCGGGCCCCGGATGGGCTCCGGATCCCCGTACTATCCCGGCCCCATGCGTGGGCCATCCCAGACCTTCCCCGTCCTGCCCACCCCGCGCGCCCAGATAGGGGTGCGCAGCGTCCCGCTTCCCCCCTCCCCTGATTCTTGTGCCAAACGGTCCCGCGGGAGCCGCTCTCCCCGTCCCCTCCCTCAGCCCCTGCCCAGAGCTGCGCCGGATTCTGGGCTTCCGCTGTTCCGTGACCTCCGGCCCCCTGGCCCCCTCCGAGACCTCTGACCCCGCCGGACCCCAGAACACTAGTGACGATCGCCGGGACCCTGCCCGTGGCGCTCCAGGACTCCGCGACCCCGAGCCACCGCTCCCGGGACGGATATTGTGACGTTGGTCTCGACTCTGAAACCTTCCCTTGGATCTCTGTGACCTCGGACCCGTGCTCTGTCCACCCCCATCTCCGGCCCGGTGACCCTCCCTCAGGTCCCCGGCAGAAAGACTTTTTTTTCCTTCTTGCCAAAATAAAGAGGAGTCGTCAGTTTTTATCTATAAGATGGCTTCTTTTACATCTTGATGGTGCTCAGAGACAAGGCTGAGCAAGAACCGTTCCGGGACCTCAGTGTGTCCATCTATGAAATAGCGTTTTGGGAGAGGCCTGTAAAACCTGACCTTTACGTTGACGCAGAATCTCGGAGCACTAAAGATATGAATCAACTGGCCCTCTTACTACACTGTTCCTTTATTTTTACCTTCTCTTCCCCAGTCAGAGGTAGAGGCGCCCTCCAGTGGCACATGCTTTTCTCAGCCACCTGCACCCCGAGTTTGGGTTAGGATTTAGCATTGCGCATGTGCATGTTCTCTTCGCAGGCCAAGGAAGTCACTGCTGCGCATGCGTCGGGGAACAAATGGGCGGGGAAGTTTCCGGAAGTCTCCCTTTGTGGAGGGGTGGGGTTGGGTGCTCCGCAGTCCTCCCAGGGCCGCTCTGACCTGCGGTTCCGCGACTTCTCGCCTCCTCCCTGGTCTCTCTCCTGCAGCGGCCTCTCGGCCCCGCCCCCTCGCCCACCCAGAGGTCTTCCCCGGGCCTTTCTAGCCCAACCGTCCCCTCGTCTCTCTGATCTGGCCTATCGAGCTCCCGAGAGAGGCGCGGGTGGGTGAGCGAGGGACCGAGTCCATGGGTGCCAGGCCGGAGCCCCTGAGGACGGGCTCCGCCCCCGGTCCCCGGTCGCGCCCCGCCCCAGGCTGGAGTCTCTCCCGGACCATCCGGGCCTGGCCCGGCCTGGCCCGCACCCTCTATGGAGGCCCCCGCCCGGCTCTAGGGCCCTTTGCCCACTGGGGACCCACACGTTTCTAAGGTCCGTTTCAGCCTGCAGCGGTCCGCGTCTGTAATTGCTGGACACCGTTTATGGAGTCAGCCAGCTTATGGGGGCCTGTGTCTATAAGGGACTCCTGTGGTCCCTAGGGGTCGGCCGCGTCCATAGCGACCCTATTTACAGGGCCTATCTTAGGTCTACAGAGCCCACCCCTCGACTTCTAGAGCCTGTCAACAGCGGCGCTTGCGACTTCTGGACCTCCCCAGTCTACAAGGCCATGTCCCGTTCATAGAGGTCGCATTTGCAGGGCCTCACGCCGGAGGAGGGTCTGCTCCGGGTCCGTGCAGTCTGTCAGGGTCAGTGCTGGAGGCGGCGATGGCCCTGGGCCGGGCTCTGGCCGCCGCGCTGGCTCTATCTTTGGCCTTGCTGGGGCCGCTGTCTCCTGGGGCCCGGGCGGGAGACTGCAAGGGGCAGCGGCAAGTGCTGCGGGAGGCGCCAGGTTTCGTGACAGATGGTGCGGGCAACTACAGCGTCAATGGCAATTGCGAGTGGCTCATCGAGGGTGAGTGGGGCCGCGTGGGTCACACACCCACTCGTTCGCTAATTCGTTTGTGCACTCATTCATCCACTCACCACATTCCCAGAGCCTGGTTCTGGTCCAGGCCCTTTGCTCTAAAAAGCAGCCAACCTGGGCCCTGCCCTGGAAGGCCTTGAAGTCTGGTTGGGGAGTTGCACCCAGACCCAGATGGACAGTTACAAGCCAGGAGCATCAGTGAGGGATATTCTGAGTAATTGTTAGAAACTGGGGCTTCTAGCCCAAGATCCGACTTTGAATTCGGGTTCCACTTCTTACTAGCTTTGTGAATTCGGGCAGGTGGCTTCCTTTCTCTGAGGTTCAGCTTCCCTTCCCCTCAAATACCCACTTCATAGAGTCGTTGGAATGAAATGAGAATAGGTATTTAACATGTCTGGCAAATAGTAAATGCTTAATACATGGTTTAGGATGCTTATTGTTCTTATTTTTAAAGTTCTTCAATAAAAGCATTTTTTCGGTCATCCATGTGCCAGACAATATATTTGCCACTGGGACACAGTAGAGACAAAAGTCTCAGCAATCCCCGATGACTTGGGGCTTGGGATCCAGTGGGGGAGACCAAGACATTAATAGACAGTGATAGTCCAGAGTGGTTGAGACTGTGATGGAGGAACCCTACAGGCCTAGGGGAGCCCGAAGAAGGTGCCTGATCTGGGGGCGGGGGAGAGGTCTTCCTGGAGGAGGAGGCGTCTGAGCTGAGGCATAAAGGACCAATAAGAGTCAGCTAGGAGAAGGAGGAAGAGCATTCCAGAGTGAGGAAACAGTCTGTGTGCAAAGGCCCCAGCCCTATCTTCATGGGCTCCCGGTTCAGTAGGGGAAACAAGCCCACTCCCAGGAAGTGGGAAGCCCAGAGATGTCTGACTTAGCCTGGGTGACAGCTGAGCCCAAGAGGCATGTTCAGGAGGGAGCAAAAGGGCACTACAGGCAAGGAGAACAGCCCGTGCAAAGGCCCGGACACAGGAGGGATTTGAGGAAATAGAAATGCAGTGCTCTGGAATACAAGATGAATACAAGGAGACAAACTGTGAAGCAGAGGCCGGAGGACTGCGGGGAGGCAGAGGGTGTGGGACCTTGTGAATTTTAGCTCTGTCCTGATGACAGTAGGGAGGTGGAAGAGAAGTCCAAAGACAGTGTGGCCAGAGAAGTCCAGGAAGGCCTCCCTTGGCAGTGGATGTAGAAGCTGGCCTCCAAGGGAGGTGAGGGTCCCACAGGAGAGGTCCTGGGCAAAGGCCAGAGGCATGACAGGACCCCTTTGCAGGCTGCGGAGCTTGCTCTTTATCTGGGGGCAATGGGGAGCCATGCAAGCGTTTCAAACGGGAAGGATGTAATCCGATTTATATTTTATGTATTATTTATCTATGGGTGTTGTGTGGGTATGGATGAAGCATGTTTCTTGGGAATGTGTGTCTGTCCCCAGCTTGGGGGCCATTTTTGTCTGGGGTGGGGGATGTGAGAACAGAATGAGAAGTTTTTTATATGTTGGTATAAATCATCTTCCAACCCTGAAGAGCCCAGTGTGTTCAGGGCTGAGACAGAAGGAGGTACAGGGTTGGGCAGATGGGCCTTGGGGAGTCTGTTGGGGATCACAGAGGAGGAGGCACTAGAATAGGGTTCTGAAGCACACATGAGTTTACTGGGTGAGGAAAGGGAACAGCCTCAATAAAGACAAGAGAGTCTTGGGTGTCTCAGGAGCCATTTCTAGATTTGTCTGGTTTGGCTGGACTATTGGCTGGGAGGTAAGGAGGGTGCCAGATGCCGGGGAAGGAGGGCCTTGAGTGTCATGCTGGGCGGCTTGGCTTTTCTCTTGGGATTGAAGGGGAGCCACAGTAGGATTTTGAGCAGGAGTGGGGCTTTGCTCTCAGGCTGGGTGGAGGGTGGACTGGGCACCTGGCCCGCAGTCTTGCAGGAGAGGGTGAGTTTTACTAGGACAGGAATTAGAAGGTGGAGAGGCATGGAGAGCACTAAGAGACGTCTGTGATGTTTCACCAGTGAGACTTGGGAACGAATTAGCTGGATGTTAGGGGAGGGAGGAGTCGGGGAGATTTTCAGAACCTGCTTGATCTCCCTTCCTTCCCAATGCCTATCACCTATAAGAACCAACCTGCTTCCCAATCTATTAAGAAATAAGCCACTGACAACTTACTTTTATACCACGTTCACACTGTACCCAGTCCTCACAATATCCTCACACATAAGAAGCATCTGCTTTTAAAAAGCAGATTTGGGGTTGGATCTCTGGTCAGGGTGGCCTGTGGTTGGGCCCATTTGGGGTGGAAACAAGAGACTTTGAACTTAGGGAGGAACTTGGGGATGGCAGATGGTGAACTGGCCTCTGACAGGCACTTGACAAAGATGTACTTGTTGTGAGCTTTACAGTATGGTTGAGGCTGGTAAGACTCTGGGAGGTCTGGTTGCCCAGTGTGGCTAAATGGTTCTTCTGCGTTCCTCAGACCATGGCTCAGGATCTGTTGTGATGTTCTCCAGGGCTCTGGTCAGAGTCTGAGGGAGAGCTGCCAACTTGAGTATGCATTTTGTGTATTTCCTCCTTCCTTCATCCAGCATTTTCTGAGTCCTTGGCCAGTGCCAGGTCCAGTGCTGGGCAGTGTTAGAGAGGGACCCTCAAGATGAGTTAGGCCCAGGCCCTATCCTGGCGGGCCTCTTAGGCTGCAGGTGAGACAGATGTGGCCCAGAAGAATGAAGATTTTAATGGAAAGTGATAATCCCTAACGGGGGCTCCTAACCCAGCCAGGGGGCATCAGGGAAGGCTTCCTGTAGGAGATGGGGAAGTTTGCTGGTAGGAAGAGAGAATGTGCTGCAGACACTTGAGTAAAGGCCAGCTTCTGATAGAACTGCAAGCAATGGGGTGATGTGAGACAAGGTGAGACTTCCAGTGCCAGGTTAGGGAGCTGGATTTTCTTCTGGAGACGGTGGGAGCCATGGAGGGCTTTTGAGCAGGGGAGGGCCAGGGCCAGGTGTTGAGTTGGGAAGATCCCTCAAAGACCCATATCAGGGCGAGACAGGAGGCCAGGAAGGAGGCTGGACCAGTAGTCCTGGCAAGAGAAGACAAGGCCTGGGCTGGCACGTTAGAGTCACCATTTCGAATCTTTACACCGGCCTTGGTGGGTGGGGAGAATGATCTCTATTTTCTATCAAGGAAACTGAGGCTTAGGGAGCCCATGGCACCGGCCCACGAGCACTCAGCTAGCGAGTTGTGGATGAGCATCTCCAGCATACAGATGAGTCTGCTGAGGGGCATGGGTCCTCCTGCGGGTCAGGAGCAGAGCTGGAACCCAGGTCTCCTAGTTTCTCTGGCCCAGAAGACTTCCCTGAGCCCCTCGTGTAAAATGTGAGATGAAAGAACCTTCTGGAACCCGGATCTGGCAGAGAGCAGGAATCGTGACAGGGCTGGGAGTGGTGGCATTTGAGAAGTGCGAGGCCCCACTAAGCACTTCATGTGCACTGTCGCCTCTCACACGGTGCAGCCATCTGAACGCTCACCTGGGCCCCACGTCCAGGATTTCCTCTCAGGGCTGGCAGCTGATGCTGGCTGTCAGCTGGAAGCTCAGCTGGGGCTGTCAGCTGGGATGCCTACATGTGGCCCCTCCATGTGGCTTTGGCTTTTCATAGCGTGACAGCTGTGTTCTCAGAAGGAGCATTCTACGAGGCCCGGGTAAAAGCTACAAGGCTTCCTCTGATCTAGTCTCAGGAGTGCCAGAACCAGTGCTGCTTCGTATCAGTCAAGCCAGTCTCTGAGGCTCTTCCCAGATACAAGGACAGGGCATTGGCCCTCACCTCTTGATGGGAGGAGTGGCCGAGAAGTGGGGATCCACCACAGTACCGTTATGCCCCCTTTACAGATGAAAAAACTGAGCCAGAGAGGTTAGGTGACTGCCCAAGGTCACACATCTAGTAGCTAGTAAGTGGCAGAGCCAAGATTCGAGCCCAGGCATAGTCT